TTGATTCAAATCGTGGCGCCATTGTCGCATTATCGCTCATCTATCTGATTAATATGATAAGTCGACTTACACATAAAACTTATAAAGTGTAATATTATCAATTACAGCACGGCTTTAAACGAGAACTATTCAGTAAAATATATATATACATCTAAATATGAATTAGTTTTTTTTTTTTAATGGCATTTCAAGCTTGTTAACGGTATAAAAAGAATAAAGCTAATGTGTAATGAATATTGTTTATATTTAATACGATTTCAACAGATTATAATTGAGACGACAAACGGAAAACTTGACATTTACACAAAAAGCGTTCAGTAAAATATATATATGTATATTAATGCATATATTTTAAAAAGAACTCGGAGTACTTTTAGTTTTTAAAGGAATGAGACATACTTTTAAACAAAAATTAAGTGGCCCGGCTTTGATATACTTTGACTTTGATAGTTTTTGGAATACAAAAAAAAAAAAAAAAAAAAAAAAACCCATGTTTATGAGATGGCTAAAAGTGAAATCTCTAGATATGCATTTGCTATATATACTTTACAAATTTTATGCAGTACTTGGTACATATTTAGCTCCATACAAAATACACGTTAGCTATGTGCACATATTGTCTTATAATCAAAATTGCATTTAGTTTTATGGAACAGGTTTCAAATAATAATTATAATAATAATAATAATGTTTTGTACAGTGGAACCAGTGCATGATGCCTGGCGGAAACACACATATTTTACAACAAACAAATAAACAGGCAAACATTTCAAGTCTCTAACATCTTTTTCCCTGTCTCTGTCGCTCGCGCTCTCTCTTACTGTGCATACAGCTCTCTCTCTCTCTCTCTCTGTTCGTCTGTCTATCTCTTTCTGTGTATGCTGTCTCGCTCCGCAGAGCATTGCCCTAGTCATTTTTACGGCTGAATGTCAGCTGAGGGCAAACGCAAAATGCAAGCTTTAAAAAATGAAGTCGGCTAGTTGATTGTGCCTTGCGCTGTTCCCTTATTCAGATTATATAATAATATATATATATATATATATACATATGAATGTATATATATACATATATCTAGTGTTCATAATAGTTATATACATAGACCGATGTACAGACAAAACTCGACACTATACGAAACGCATTAAAAGCTTAATGAATAGGCTAAAACGAGCTGCACAGGTGCCCAGCACAAAATGTGAGCAGCCTTCAGTTTGGAGCACCTTGTGGTTTCCAGTTGTCGCTTGCCGAGCGACGTGATTTTCGCCTTGGTCTGGTAATTGGATTAAATTCAGTTTTGATTTTATAACTTCACTTCTTCGGCAGCAGCTCGGCGGCAACGCCGGCTGGCGTGGCAGCAGCAGCAGTATTGAAGGCATCACTGGCGACCGGAGTGTTGGTGTTTTCACCGTTTCCGCCGTAGCAGCGCCGCTTGAAATCGCTCAACAAATCCGGACGCTGCTGCAGGCCGTGCTGCGGATCAATGTTTGAAGTTTGCGTTGTATTTCTGTGCGCAAGAGATTGGCAGCTTAGTTCGTGTGGTTTGTTTAGTGGGAAGGTGGTTGCTAATCCACGGTTTCACTTACCTTGTCTTGGTTAGCACCGTGCAGCCGTTCTCCACAAGCATGCTGAGGGAGTAGAGCGTGGCCAGATTGAGCAGGCTATCCTGCTCGTAGATCTCAATGTCGGGCAAACGGATTTGGGTCTGCCGAGAATCCTGCAGAAAGCGTGCCAGGCGCTCGTTAACGCTTAGCTTAATGCTGAAACCTGGACGATCGCCATTGATGCGCCGGCAGCCGGCGCGTATTTCGCGCACCTCCTGTATCTGCATGGGCGGCGATGACGACAGGAATGGATTTGATGTCTCGCCGGACATCTCGCTTTCGATCTGCTTTAGCGCTGGCATGCCGTTCATGGTGGTTTCCGTGTCAAGGCAGATGTTGACGCCAATGAAGCCAACACTGCGATTGCCACGATTGGCGCCGCCGCCACAGATTTCAATCGGCTCCGAGCTGGCGGCCGGCTGAAAGCGTGTCAAATCCTGCAAAGCATCCGGTAACGGAGGGGACTGTGAGATGCCGCCGCCGCCGCCCACACCTCCACCATAGCTGTCAGCAAAAGTCATTGTCGCTGTCGCCTCCGTGCCGGACATAAGCGTATCATCCTCACCAATGGTATCATCGGAGCGTATTTGGGGCAGTAGCGATTTCTTGGTCAGCTTGCGCTTGGGATCATATTTGCCACCGGGCCCAATCTCATTGCCGGGCCAATCGGTTAGCTCGTCGTCGCCCTCGCGATCCGTATCGTGCAGCCTATGGCCATCCTCGCTGTCTGAGGAGGAGCTCAGCGAACTGGAGCTAAGAAAGTCATACAGCTCGGTGCAGTCCATCGACTGCACCTGCAGCGGCTGCGGTGTTTGGCAAAAGCGGCGTCTGCGATGCGCCTTCGTGGAGCTGCCATAATGCGATTTCTGGCGATGGGCATGATAGTCCGCAACAGCGCAGTCCAAAGACAGCTGCAGCGGCATCTTATCCGAAGTATTTAACAGCGTCTCAATATCGCTGACAGGCACAAGCGTTTCCATGCTAAAGTCACCAAGGCCAGCGGCGCTGGCTGCAGTCTCAACCAGATCCAAATGAGGATTGGTTGCTGCTGTTTGTGGCTGTGCTTCCGCCTGCTCGAGCTCCAGACTCTCCTCTTCCATGTTCGATGTGTTCTCAGTCTTTTGTGCTTCTTTCGTTTCCGTTTGGGTTTGCGCAATGCGATTTATCTTCGAGAGCAGCCCCTTGTTGAGCGGCAGCAGACGATCGCTGTGCGGCTTCGATGTCGATGAATAGCTGCGGGGCCGCATGCGATGGTACTCCTCGATGTGCGTGTAGCGCGGCATGCTCGACGAATGCAATTTGCTGGAGCCACCACCGCCACCACCGCCGCCACCGCTGCAGCCCCCGCCGCCAACAGGAACGCCAGCCTCCTGATCATGCTCGTGATAGCGATCACGATTAGAGCGTTTACGTTTACCGCAAAAAAACAAATTCGAACGATTGCCGCTGTCCATCTTCAGCACACGTTTTCGTACAGTGCCCGTGCCGGTCATGTTGCCGGCACAGCCGCCTAGCATGCCCGGATGCAATGGCGACTCCGTAAAGCTGTGTGGCGACACAGCCAGATTGCAATCCTTGCTGAATTCAAACTCCATTGACATGCGCTTGATCTTTCGTTTCCGACGCGAGTTTGGCTTGTAGAACCTAAAAATGAAGAATGACGTATTAAATTTGCCTCTGACTAGGCGGCGTGTCAACTCACCGAGCTGGACTGAAATTGGTCTCGTTCAACGAGTCCGACTCGAGGGCGCCCATGCCCATGCGAACAGCTGCGGCCGCATTGAGCATCTTGCCGGGCAGACGCAGCGGGAGCATTGCCTCGGCCTTGTCATCTGAATCGCTCGCAGGCAGCATCATATCGTTGTGTGTGTGTGTATCTAGTCCATCGATGTTTGCATTGGTATTCGGGTGGTGGCCGTGCCCATGTCCGTGCGCATTATTCATGGTGTCTGTGGGGCTGCTCGACGAATCTTCGGTTGGTTGCGGCGCACAAGCTGCAGGTGAAGTGCAGTGAAGTGGAAGCAAAGTGGTTTTCATGCTGTCAATTAGCCCACCAGCACTGTGGGAGGGGGGGCGTGCTGAATATGGCCAATATCTTGGCATAAATACTTACGCAAATTACCCGTTGATCGAGTTCTTCGACGCGAGCCCCACCTACCAACGCCGCACGCCCTGTCCATCAGTGACGTCTCCTCCAGGGCGAGGGTCAAGTCGTGCGAGAACTGATCCATTTGCACCAGCACACCCGAATTTCAATTGCGTTTCATTAAACTATTGCGTGTGCGTTCGCAAAAAATTTATACAAAAAAAAAAAACCAATCTAAAGGTAAGCCTCAACAATTGGCAGCAATTCACTTCGATAACAATATCGATGTTTGCCATTTATCGACAGTATTTTATGTGGGTTTCTCTGCTCTCCCTGTTGACTCAAGGCTGGTCACTCTACGACCAATGGTGAAAGCCAAATCGGTTAAACTTGGAGTTAACTGACAAAATATTTCAATGCTTTCTATGGTGATAATACTGAATATTTTACAGCCGGCTTAATTATATTGTGCATTAATGAAATTATATGTATAGATCAATATGTCTGATATTTTAGTGACATATTTCTTTACACAATTCTATTGTTGTTAATTTGATTCAGAAAAAATAATTATTTTTCAAAATGCACTGTACAACAGTGAAAAAGCAGCATTATTTAAAATGAGATCTAAGTTTTGCAAGCCAATTGAAATATATGATATATAGCAAGGTGCACGTAGCATCTATGTATAAAAAAGACCGTAGTTGATTTTATGGATAACCGCAGTGGATGTACAATTAGAAAAACCTTTTTTTTTTAATCTGTACATTTCAAGTACTTGGCTGCTGATAATAAGCAAATTCCTAAAATCAATTGGTTTCAAAAGTCAAATTTCTGAGCCTTTGGAATATCGTTATGGGCCGAGTTAAATTTCCCTTAAGACTGATTTGAAATTATCGATTAATTGATTTTCAGTGTTGTGCTCGTCGGAGTAAATGATGGTATCGTTGATGGTTTTGGTATTTTTGTATTGAAAAGTTCTTTTGTAATGTTTAATGTGCAGTTGGTCACATTGAGCATTGACACAGTGAAATGCAGAAGCTCATGCTCGAAAATAAAATTTTTTCTTTAAAGTTTGCGCTTAAATTGAACTGATTTGACGTAAATTTCGTCGCACACTTAAACTCGACACGCAACAAGTTCCAGCTGCGACAACAGTTTGCATACGCAGCAGCCGCAACTTGGGGGTTTAATTGTGCCGGTTGCCACAAAATAAAAAATAAGGAAAAAAACGCCGCTTTTTTTTTTGTTGCTGTGCGACGTGCTGCTAATTTAGTTTGTTGCAGTTGTTGCAATTTGTTGGAGGTGCTTCGAAAATGAGTCGCCGACGTGCACACGATACTGAGGATGAGAGTTATGGTGAGCTAAGTGTTAATTTTCCTATTAAATAATAAATAATAAATTTTTGACCATATGATTTGTGCCATAGACCACAGACGCAACAAGCGCCGCCGCGTCTCAGAGAACCAGGAGATTGAGGATCGTTTGGAGTCCTTGATATTGCGCGTGGGCGAGCGCAGCACCTCGTCGGTAGAGTCGAATCTCGAGGGTCTTGTCTCCGTGCTGGAAGCCGATCTGGGCACATTCCGTTTGAAGATCTTGCGCATTCTGTCCGATTGTGCGGTGCGCATGCCCGAAAAATGTACCGTCTACACGACCCTAGTGGGTCTGCTCAATGCCAAGAACTATAAATTCGGTGGCGAGTTTGTCGATTACATGGTGAAAACGTTTAAGGAGTCGCTGAAACTGTGCCGTTGGGATGCGGCCCGTTACTCGCTACGCTTTCTGGCCGATCTGGTCAACTGTCACGTCATCTCGGCCACAAGTCTGCTGCAGCTGCTGGACACAATAATCGATGTGTCCAACGAGGACACGGTGCCGCAAGTGCGACGCGATTGGTTTGTGTTTGCGGTGCTCTCCACGTTGCCGTGGGTGGGGCGTGATCTGTACGAGAAGAAGGAGTCAGCACTGGAGTCGCTGCTGCTGCGCATTGAGGTGTATTTAAATAAGCGCTCGAAGAAGCATCATAATGCGCTGCGTGTCTGGTCATCGGATGCGCCACATCCGCAGGAGGAGTATCTGGACTGTCTGTGGGCACAGATACGCAAGCTGCGCCAGGACAACTGGGCCGAGAAGCATATACCGCGTCCGTATCTCGTCTTTGACGCCATTCTGTGCGAGGCACTGCAGCACAATCTGCCGCAGATAACTCCGCCGCCACACCATGACGCCATTGAGTATCCCATGCCGTGGGTTGTCTACCGCATGTTCGACTACACCGATTGCCCTGATGGACCGAATCTGCCGGGTGCCCATTCGATCGAGCGTTTTCTCATCGAGGAACATCTGCATCACATTATTGAGACGCATCATCATGAGCGCAAAGATTGTGCTGCACAGCTGCTGAACTTTCCGTTCAAGCACAAGATCCCATTAGAATATTGCATCGTCGAGGTTATCTTTGCGGAGCTCTTTCACATGCCCACGCCTCGCTATCTGGACATTTGCTATGGCTCCATTCTAATCGAGCTGTGTAAACTGCAGCCGGGCACATTGCCCCAGGTGCTCGCCCAGGCAACTGAGATACTGTTCATGCGCATCGATTCCATGAACACGTCGTGCTTCGATCGCTTCGTCAACTGGTTTAGCTATCATTTGAGCAACTTTAAGTTCACCTGGTCCTGGGACGAATGGGACAGCTGTCTGCTGCTCGATGCCGAACATCCGCGTCCCAAATTCATACAGGAGGTGCTCCAGAAGTGCCTACGGTACGATTAATGCCCCAAAGCCTAGTGTTCACTTAAATAATACTCCTTTCCATCGCTTACAGACTGTCCTATCATCAGCGCATCACCGAAATGATGCCCACAACGTATGCGAAACTGATCCCGGTCATGCCCGTGCCTAACTACAAGTACACAAGCGAGGAGGCTGGTGAGTACCAGACACCAATACATTCTCTAGCTTCTCCTCCTGCAAGCTAGCTCTTAATTTGAATCAAATCATATTTATTCGAATGCTACGAATTCTAGAAAATACTTAATATGAAAATAACTGAAAACTCTCACGAGCTCCTCTTCCTCCTTCTCGTGCTCCTGTTTCTGTTTCGTTTTCAGTTTATTTGCCTTTTTTTGTTACGCTTAAGTTTAGGATTAGTCAGATGCATTTTTTTGGGGCATTTAGCTGTGCTTCACCTCGTTCTCATCATCGTCCACAATGATGGGTATTTCCTCGCCATTCTCGCCCACCTTGATGCTGACGGACTTGCTAACCGATTTCTGGGTGAGCACCTCGATGATTTCACCTGCCGGCAATGCCGAGCTGTTGACTGCAGACGAAGATGTTGTTGTTGTAGGGGCTGTTGTTGTTGTTGTTGCAGCTGTTGTCGTTGTTGTTGCAGCTGCTGCTGTTGTGGGCACAAATGCCACCTTAGACTCGTGGCGATGACTGCTCTTGGCCCGGCTGTCCATGCCGGTGGCATTCTCCTTGCGGCGCTGCTTCCACTTGGCTATTGCCGGCTGCTCCGTGGTTGTTGTTGTTGTTGTTGTTGTCGTCGATCTGCCTGCGGTGATGCGCGGCGTTGTCCGATAACGACTTAAAGCGCGCAGCGGCGTTATGCTGGTCGAGGTGGACACAAAGCTAGCTCGGCTTGTGGCCGCTGATCTCGGTGGTGCCATTGAAGTGCTTGTTGTTGTTGTTGCTGCTGTTGTTGTTGCTTCTGTTGTTGTTGTTGTTGTTGTTGCGTTTTCTGTGCCTGTGCTGGACACTGGTGCTGCTGTGGTGGCCAGTTTGGGTTGTTTTTGACTGCCAGCGGGTCGCTGTTCGGTCTGTATGCTGGGCATCTCTGCCGTTTCCTCGTCCTCCGCCCCGTCCTCCTGCTGCTCGCTTGAAGTGCCGCGCTCCAATTGCCCTGGCTGTTGCTGCTGCCGCCGCAGCAATGGCTCTTCGGTTTCATAGCTGTGCGGCGACTCCAGCTGTAGTATATCGACCGGATGCTGATGCACATAAAGTGGATCCGGCTCGGAGTAGCGGTAGATGGTCTCCTCCAACGGCTCGCTTTGCACAAATGACTTTTGCTCCTCCTCAGCATCTGCCGCGGCGCCGGCATAGATCAACAGCGGTGCCAGCGTGGACGTGTCATGTTTGGATGCCTCCTCATAACCTGTTTATACACATCAAAGATCCAAATCAAGATTACAATGCCATAATGAGAGAATGACATAATCAGAAGCTGTGAATCCTATAGAAACTGTCCAACATTTCCAGTTATATCTCAATGTATTCCTTCTCTTTATATAAAAGTGCTTGTCCTGACTGACCGACTGATTGATTGACTGACTGACTGATTGATCGTTAATCAGAATCTTTAATGTTTGGTGTGTTGAATCTGAAATCTGCAGAATTTCCAGTCTTAAATTTCGCATATCTCCATGCAGACTGACTGACTGATTGACTGATTGACTGATTGATGATCGACACACATTCCTTCTTGCTGGAAATGGGGGTCAAAGATTTCGTGGTTGACGTTTCGCGGTGAAATTCATTTTTAAAGATCTATATGAAAAATCATTTCAAACGTGTTTCACACTTTGCGCAAAATTCAAGCTGCCTCGGTAAAAAATACGATTCAAAGATATTTTTAAGTTTCGAATTGCTGCAAACTTATTTTGATTTATGGAAATTTGGCGAACAATTTGGTTCCTTTTGCGATGCACTTTAAACTAGAACTAGAAAGTTCGCGTGGATTTCAAGCCACCAAACTTTTCGTGTGCTCATGTGTGGCCATATATGTAGAGCTCACCTGCATAGATTTGTGGATGCTGTTCCTGATCCTGATGCTCATCCTCGCCGGGCTCCAGGGACTCCGCAGATGCTGGTTCGCGGTTTGTCGGCAATTGCAGCTCACGATGCGATTCATAATAATGTTCTGGATAACTATGTCGATAGGGCGGCCTTGTGGGTGGCGCTGGGGTGGACAGTTCCGCCACATAAGTGGGTGGACGATAGCCCAGCTCAGCATGGTTGCCGCCGCCGCCGCCGCCGCCGCCGACGCCATCAACCAGGCCATTGGGCGTCATGTAGAAGTGATGATGGAAATGATGGGTGACTGTCGGATTAGCTGGCACGGAAGCGGCATTTGCGGGAGCGCCGCCGCTGCCCAGTTCGTTGGGCAAGGGGTAAGGCTCCGGGGGAGCGGGCAGCTCCGGACGTGGACCAAACTTGACCGGATAGCCGCCGGGTCGAAATGTTGTCGCCGGTATGAAGTTGGGACGCAAGCCCAGATTATATAGGCCCGGATACTGTTCAATCTTGGGCGTACCCTTGGGTATGCCCTGCTTTAGATACTCACCAATGTTGAGATTGGGCGGCAGCAAAGGTGGCAACGGCGGTGGGGGCGGCGGCGGCGGTGGCTGAAAGATGCCATGCATAAATGTTGCCTGCGGTTGCCGATCCTGTCGCCGCTGGGCGAGCTCCTGTTCACGCTTCTGCTCGTAGAGCTGTCGGCCAAAGCTTTGCGGATAGTCGGACTCCTTCTGGATGTAGCTCTGCGGCGGCCAGCCAATGCTTGCCGCCAGCGGCGATACGCTGAACTTCAGCTCGTAATGGAAGCGTTGGGGCAAACTGTGGCCAATGCCGCCATCCCGATGCCGGATGCGCTGCACCCGCCACAGGGCGCGTGTCTGGATGCCCGCCGTTGGCGTCTGTTGGGCATCCGTGCTGCCCTCGACAAACCGATAGCTGCCATTGGCCGAGAACTGCTCCAGCCGACCGCTGGCCAGCGTCACAATGTCCCCAAACCGGGCCGGGCCCAGCTGCGTCTGGGCAACGTCCAGCGGCATGTACGGCGTCTGCAGAAAGTTGTGATAGTCATGCAGCTGGCTGCTGCCGCCGCCGCACACAGGCGCTTTAGTGTCATCCATATAGCTGGCCAGGACAACCTACCTACCTGAGATTGCCAGCGGCGGCGCCGACGGCGGCGTCCGTGAACAGTGTCACATAGGTCACATGCTTCAAGGTGCGCTCCCAGCTGCGCACCACAGCCTCCGTTGGTTGCTCCTCGTAGTAGATCCGTTTGCCGTTCGATTGCAGCGACTGCTTGGGCGTCAACACCAGATCCCGTCCAGCGCCCACAATGGCCGACATCGGCGCCAGCTGCTGCAATTCACCACAGTGGCTATCAGTATCAATTTGTGTACTCTAAAACGGATCCAGCTCAGCTCGCCGTGCTGCTGCTGCTGCGACCTGGGATAATCTGTGCTATCGGACCATGTGTTGCCTGCCTGCGGGGCAGCTGGATCTCTCTCTCTCTGTCTCTCTCTCTCTCGGCTTATCGCAGGCTTCTTATAGAGTCTTGACTGCGGAGGCAGCCGAAACAGAACCAAGGTATATGGGCCAGCTTTGGCAATAGTCCAAGTCGTGGATATAGTTTGGCTGTTTGTAGCCGAAGTGTGGTTCGAGCTTTGTCCAGACTCTACTCTAGCAGAATAGGCTTCTACTGGCAGCAACTCAGGCTTAATGAAGCTATGGGTCACAGCGTAACAGTTGGGACACGGGCTGGACTTGACCCCTGACTTGACCTTCTGTATCGGTCCGTTCTGCAGCACTTACGATTGCCAAGAATAGTAGGCACACCAGGCAAGGTATATGCCACATTTTCACATCAAAAAAAATAAATTAATATAAAAAAAAAAAAAAAAAAAAAATAGATAACCACAAATGAATCGTTGACAGCTCGTCTTTTTGGGCAATTCTTTGGACGTTTGTGCCGCGCGCGCGCTTCAGCTTGACTGAAAGGCGTTCGCGACGTGCGCACCGCTAATAACAAAAACCCAACGACAGACGGTTAAACCACCAAATGATGCCGCCGACGCCGACGCCGCCGCTGGCTCTGGCTATGTCTGCTGCTTTCGTTGGAGCAGCCAAGCGGCGCATCGCCAGCGGCGGCAGTTTCGCAATCTTTGGCAACGGCCGCGTTTCTAACAGCAGCAGCAGATGGTGCGGGTGGTGCGGGTGGTGCGGGTGGTTGCGCGGCTGACGCGCTTTTATGCAACAGTTGCGGATGTTTGGACCCGCTTCAAGCAGCAAGCCAAGCGCCTCCCTTCCACCACACAAAAAACCAACCCAACCCAATCCAAGCTAACTGAAACGACCCCGCCTACCCACTGAGCTGAGCTGGCGAAACGCTTTTTGGCAAGCTGCGCCGCACTCCAATCCACTCCGCAGAGATTCCCTGTCAGATATGCTGCTCGCTTCGCTGAAGTTCAATAGTGGAACTGGCCACCATCCAGATGCGATTTCATTCGATTTTGTCGTTCTGATTGCGTTTCAGTTCACCTTGTCTCGGGGTTTTTGCTTTGATTTAGTTGAGGCTAAAGATCACATAATTCGATAACACAAGTCTGGGCTGCGAGTAAAGAACTTAGACTTAGGGGAGAAACGCGCTAGAAAGCGGCGCGACGAGAAAGTATTACTTGGGGTCGGAGAGAGATTAACCAAAGATAGAGCCTGAACTGGGCAGAGTTAAGATTTAAGTTGAGTTATGAATGGCACAAGTGCGAATAGAGCACGAGTTGCACAAGCAGGTTCAAGATGAGGCTCCAGCTCAAAACAGAGGCTCAGATTAAGATAATCAAGGACTTAGGGACTTATAAATTTGCGAGATAAGCTAGAAAAACCAACGTGAAAGATCGATATTTATCGACTGCCGGAAAACGAGAAGAGTTTTCGAGCTGAGCTCTCCAGCTACCAACATATGCGAGTTAATGCAAAGACTGTAAATCGATAATTATCGAACTTGATAAAGTGGGAACAAGGTGTCGATATATTGCTTAGCCTGCTGAGGGAAACGAATATTTGGGAATGGGACGCGACCTTTAGTCTGTTATATGCATCTCATGGTGCTCTTTTTTATCATATGGTTAACAGCTTAAAGTAGCCCAAAGCTATTTTTTATGGGGTTTTCAAGCATCAACTCTGGGGCCTTGCCTAGCTGCTGCGCTGTGCTGCTTCTCATGACTGTCATAAAAGTATTCTACTTAGAACTTAGAATATGTCAGACACAAACACATACGCACACACACACACAGCTGGCTCATAGACATGCAAATTGTGTGTTTTTGCGCATTTGCTTTGTGTTTTATATTCGTAAACGTTGCAGCTGAAAATTAACTCGTGTCGTGTCACGCGCTCATCGCTAATTGCGCCACTTTAGCATTGACAGCCAGGCAGACCGCTGAGAGCGGAAGAAGAAGAGCAGCTGCAACCCCAGAGCTGGACACGTTGCGCTCGATGGAGCAGCGCCCTGATCTTTTCAGCGCCATGCCCTGCCTTGGACATGCCCAATTTGAGCTGAAAACCAAAGATCCGTGAAAATATACATATTTTGGCATCAAGTCAAACCAAATGCTAATAATCTAAGGCGAATACCCTATAGACGAAAAGTCACTAGATATAGATATATAGATATATATATAGATATAGATATAGATATAGATATAGATATAGATATAGATATAGATTATATATAAGATATATTATATATATATATATATAGATATAGATATAGATATAGATATAGATATATATATATATATATAGATATAGATATAGATATAGATATAGATATAGATATATATATATAATATATATATAGATTAGATATAGATATAGAATAGATATATATAATATATAATTATACAGATATAGATATAGCTATAGATATAGATAGATAATTATAGATATAGATATAGATATAGATATAGATATAGATATAGACTATAGATATAGAATGAGATATAGATATCTAGATATAGATATAGATATAGATATAGATATAGATATAGATATAGATATAGATATAGATATAGATATAGATATAGATATAGATATAGATATAGATATTAGATACTAGATATAGATATTAGATATAGATATAGATATAGATATAGATATAGATATAGATATTAGATATAGATATAGATATAGATATAGATAATAGATAGAATCGCTCTCGACTCTATCGATTAGCATCTAGCTACTCGCTCTCGTATAAGCTCTCGTCTCGCTATAGATCTAGATATAGATATAGATCTAGATATAGATCTCGCTCTCGCTCTAGATTCGATCTCGATTCTGCCTATAGATATAGATATAGAGATAGATATAGATATAGATATGATAGATATAGGAAGGAAGCTAGAATGCTTGCAATAACAGTTTGACGGTGGGCTTAGGGTATCACCCAGTCGTGCACTCCCGTCCAGAGCGTTCTTAGCTGTTGGCGCGATTCATTCAGCAGATTTTCAGCCAACATTCCAAGCTGCTGCTGCTGCTGCTGCTGCTGCTTCTGTGTGAACTTTGGTGGCTGATCTTGACACGCTCCATTGTCTGGACAATGGCATTCTTGAGCTTTGTTTTGCTTGGCTGTCCGATGGCCTCACAGTGCTTGGCAACTGGGTCGCGCTGCAGTTCCGCATTTGGCTTGCCAAATGGACGCATTAATGCGTTCAAATTAAGTTTGTTTCCCCTGTACCCGCCCTACCCGACCTGTTCGTCTTGTGCTCGACGCGCATTTCATTGACATAATCGACTCGAAAGTGCCAATAAATTGCATGTAATGGCTGCTGTCAGGCAGAGTCGGGATTAGGGCGGAGAGGGGAAAGAGGGGTTCAATGTAGTCATCATTAGTAACGCACCAGGCGGCAGCAGTGGCAGGCGCTGGGCCTGTTGCCGCTTGGTTCCACGCGGCGGCGCACCAAACGCAGTTGCAACTGGCGCAAGCGAAAGTGTCAACTGTGCCAGCAGCTAACCCCCCTCCCACCTCATCCCATGTCGCTTCGTCTGTCCCCATCGCCACGCTGCACGTAATAAGCACTTAATGATGTTGCATTCAAACAAACAAAACATTTCCGATTCTCTCTTGCCGCAGCCAATCTGCCCGGCACAACGGTCGCCCTGCAACTGGTCGGCGCCATACGGCAGAAATGCACGCCGGAGGAGGTGGTCAACATATTGAAGGAGATACCCAGCAGCGGTTATAGCGGCGAGGAGATGTCCGATGGCAGTTTCAATGCTTTGAAAATCGATGTATTTGTCCAGACGCTGCTCAATTTGGGCTCGAAATCGTTTTCGCACAGTTTTGCGGCCATATCGAAATTTCATGTGGTATTCCGTGCATTGGCCGAAACGGAGGAGGCACAAATCTGTATATTGCACAACATCTTTGAGCTCTGGTCATCGCACCAGCAGATGATGGTGGTGCTCATCGATAAGCTGCTCAAGCTGCAAATTGTCGACTGCTCGGCGGTGGCCACATGGATATTCTCCAAGGAGATGACTGGCGAATTTACCAAAATGTATCTCTGGGAGATATTGCATCTGACCATCAAGAAGATGAACAAGCACGTCATTAAACTGGGTGAGTAAATGCTGAAGCAAATCGATACATCTACCACTAAACGCATATGTCTGTAATCCCTTACAGATACCGAGCTGGACAATGCCAAGGAAAAGCTGTCCAAGGCGGATTCATCGTCCAGCGACACAGATGAGGATACGCCGCATAAGCGCAAGAAGCCCATTACGCATGCCGATAAGCCATCCGAGGAGGTAGGTTCATTCAGTTCTCGTTTCCCGTTCAAGCCATTAATCAATCCTCAACCGCATTCATTCACAGGTCGTTGAGCGCATGGAGGAGAAACTGGAGGCAGCCAATGTCAATCAGAAGCGTCTGTTTCTTATTGTCTTTCAGCGCTTCATTATGATACTATCCGAGCATCTGCTGCGCTCGGACACAGATGGACGCGATCCGGACACAGACTGGTATCGCTGGACCATCGGCCGCCTGCAGCAGGTGTTCCTCATGGTAAATCGAGCACATAGCTATATATATATATATATGCGTTTCTAATCCTTGCAACTCTCTCACCAACAGCATCACGAACAGGTGCAGAAATATAGCAGCACGCTGGAAACGCTGCTCTTCACATCCGATCTGGACTCACACATACTAGAGGTCTTCCAGCAGTTTGTCGCACTGCGCGCCTAACAGAATCGAACAACAACAACAACAACAACAACAACAACAATAACAACAATAGCTAGCTGCCACATGAACTGTGTCCAGACGCGACTCTGGACCTGCTCCGGCGGCATGGATCAGGCAAAACAGCTGCGCTTCGGGCAGCCATTTAGTTCTGTTTTAGGATTTCGTTTTTTTTAAACACATATGCATACAATTGTAATTTTATGATAAGTGGGCCGCCTACCACAAGTCGCAACACACACACACACACACACTTACACACTTACACAGACACAACACATACAAGATCTACATAAGATGACAAATTTTGTAATTTGTAATACAACAGCAAAATGCATGAATTAAAGATATGCAAATTCAAAGCTAGACATTTAAAAATTGTTATTTTTCATACGGAACGCTTTTTTTGTTTAATAATTGCAGTTTAGCGGGCACTTTTCTGCACATCACAGTTTAATGCAAACTGTGCACAGGCTGTACAGGCTTGTCTTTAAGGTTTGAGGCGCACTGTGACCAAGCTGCAGCATAAAAGGTTTTATGTTCACTGTGCACATGTTTGTGCTAGCCAAAACAGTTGTAGTAGCACTGTGACATTGTGGAACATAAAAAAAATGCAGCATACATTTAGGCTGGCAGGGAAATTTAAATATGCCAACTTCTGATAAGTAAGCTTGAAGTTTTATTCGCACTCAGATCCTGGATATATATATATATATATATATATATAGTATATTGTATGTTTTTATTATATGAAAATATATTTTCTGCGCTCAGCGCTGCGGCTTCACTTTAGCCCATTTTTTTTGGCACCGGTTTCTGTTTTGTTTTAGGTTTTGGTTTTTTTTTTTTTTGTCAGGTAAACAGCTGCTTGCATTGGGATTCGGGTTAAACTGATTGCTATAGCCAAATTGCTTTGCTTGGTAGATTTGTAGACTTGCAGGTCGGTCAGCTATGGCGACATCTACGAGGTGCGCGGCTGGCTGGGCACATACTTCTCCGAGGGCTGATACTGCCACTGGGCGCAGATGGCCTCCTGCTCCGTCTGATTGTAGCCGGCTCTGGGTGAGAAGAGACAACAAGAGACCGTGAGACTGTGTGAACGAGAGAGAGAGAGAGATGGAGAGTTGCTGTGGCATATATGTAGGTACATGGCTGCAGCGAGCAGCTGGTGAGCATTCGCATTCGAGATGTGCTTAATTTATTGGCAATAATGAAAATCAAATGAAAACCAGAAAGAAAAAACACAAAAAAACAAAACCGAAAATGAATAACAAGAAAAAACTTAAAATAAAACATGCAATTGCTTTGGACATGCTGACTATGCGCTGCGTGCGGCAATCCTCTGCAGCTACTAATACTGAGCGGGCACACAGATGCCGCCCGGAGCTCAGCTCAGCTCCAGCCGTAATCATAGCCATAATCATAGCCGGGGCCATAGCGCGGCCGCTCGTAGTAGTAGCCCCTCGAGGGCGGCCGGCCTGGCGGCAGTTCGCGGCTGACCGGCGCATGGAGGCTGTCCCAGAGCAGGCGGGGACGCTGCACCACCTCGCGCAGTATGTTGACTGCGGCCAGGCCGACGCTGGCCAGCTTGACGCCGAAGCGTCGTGCATTGTGCTTGAGCGGGGGCAGTGGTGCGGGTGGCGCGAAGGGCGCAAGAGCGCGTCCCAGCGGATGTGGCTGATCTAGAATCTTGGCAATTAGATTATCGGCATGCGGCGGCACATAGAGATCGGCCTGCCGATACTCGGCCGGGCACTGTTGCCGGCTGCCGTATAAGTAATCCTCGAACCTTTGGTGCGCCGAGCAGGGGCTGCGCTCCTGGAAGCAGGTCACCTGCACCACATTGTAGAAGATGGCGCCCAGCGTGTTGGCCGTCTCCGTGTTGGCCGCCTGCAGACAGCGCCGGAACCGTGCATCGCAATCGCAATGGGAGCGGGTGAAGGTGCCGCGATTGCACAGGCCGCGCCGGCAGTCGCCCACGTTGAGCACATCCGGGCACATGTCGTGCTCGCGACAACAGCGATCCTCGCGCGCATGCTGCCCAAGATCATCGTAGCTGGTTGCTGCTGTGCCCGGGCCGCACCACTTTGTGCCCGGATATATGAAGCCGAGCCCGCCGCGAAACTCATGCCCATAGGAGCCCTGACGCCGGCACACCTCCTCCAGCTCCACGACAGACTCGCGCGGCACCTGCCGTATGCGACGCGGATCCGATTGCAGCAACATGCGCTGAATGTCGCCCCTGCGGCAGCACAAACAATTCGTTTCCAATATGAATATGCATATACATGTATATATTTGTCTTGTCCTTGCACTCACCGATCCGTGTGCATCTTGCAGAACGGATGACGCGACGAGAGCTCCACCATCATGGTCATGGTCATATCCGAGATGAGCACCGCGGAGCCAGCGCTCGGCGCCAGTCGCTGGCTCAGCAGCAGCGCCACCAGCAGCGATGTCAGCGGCAGCGCCGGCGTCTTCATGACGTCTTCCAGCAAAGAGCGAGAGAGAGCGAGAGAGCAGCTGCAAAGAGAGCGCCAGAGTGTATGAGAGAGCGGGCAGCAGAACACGAACACTAGCACGCACGACTCTGCTGAAGAAGAAGACTTCAGCTCACGTCCGACAGAGCGCCAGAGTGTAAGAGAGAGCTGGCAGCAGAGATGCGCACGAGACGCTTAACGAACACGAACACGAGCACGACACGCACGATTCTGCTGAAGATTTCAGTATTTCAATACGTCAAGTCGTGTGTGTTCGTGTCACGACACGCGCTCATAGAGAGCGCCAGAGTGTATGAAAGAGCTGGCAGCAGAGAAGAGATGAGCACGAGACGCTTAACGAACACGAGCACGAGCACGCACGAGTCTGCTGATGATTTCAATATGCCTGTAAAGCGAGGATCGTTGAGTTAGTCAGCTGACGTCAAGTCGTGCGTGTTCGTGTCACGACACGCACTCCACGCTAATTGCGAGAATAGTTGACTGTAGATATGGAGGCTGAGGTGCCGGCTGACACACGGAATGTGGCCCACATTCAGCGTCCAATTAGCCCGCAGCTTGGATTTTGGCTAATTTCCGCGGACCGGTCAGCGCGCAGAGTTGACCTCACGCCGAGCACAATGCGCGACGGCACAGTGGGCCGCAGTCGTGCGAAAAATGTGATCAGCTCATTTGGAGCGCGACCGGCGCGCAGCTGGCACCACGGTAAATGATGAATGCGGCGATCAAAACAAAATCAATGAAAAGCAAAAAACAAAACAATTTGCAAAATAAAAGAAGACGTTTGCCAAGCAAACGGTGCACTGCACGACTACCAGATACCCTGTACTCAATGTACCCAAGCCAGACTATAACAAATATTGTCCAGATTAACTCTGATGATTATAGTCCGATATTCAGTCCGATATAGTCCGATATTCGTACAACTTTCCGGGAATGAATATGAGGCAGCACCTACCGCCTGTTACACACAAATGCCCTCAACCGTGATACTCCTTCTCAGTGGGCGGCTATAGGGCATAGAAGCCAAAGCAAAAAGATTTGCAACATGAAAGACACAAAACGGAAACTAATTACGATTTTGGCCAGCTTTAAGGCGCGTCCAATTGCCAAGCGGCTGAGACAGGGGCGCGGGTGGGGCTGGGTGTGGGGGCGGTGGCGGAGGGTGTGGTAACAGTGTGTCGAAATGATGCGCCGCAGCTGCTAACATAATTGGCCAATCGCTTGTTACCAATTCTTGGCCCATTGTTCGATTCGGAGAGGTCAAGGTCGGCCAGCCACGCCCACTTTCCAATTACAGCCAACTGTGCAAAGTGGCTACTGAATTTATTTGTCCGCCAGTTGGGCGGGTGGTCAATAGATCTGCGAATAGAACAGCATGAATACCCTGCAGTGCCGAGCAGCAGGTCGTGCAGTTCAATTGGAGTGTCACTGCATGACTCTCTTGAGGAAATGTCATGTAGTTTGTCATGCAGTTGCCTGACATTATTAAAGCAATCAGCTTTTGTCCGTTAACAGTGTTGGGTTAAAAGCGACAAACAGTGTTGTAAAGTGTTGTTCAAAGAACTGAAAGAAGATTTCAGAGCAAAATCTTTGATAAATGTGCAGAGTATTTGAGGTGCGTTCATGCTTAAGATTTTGGTTTTAAAGAGTTATTTTGAGTGATTTTCGGCGACTTTGGCATTTTTGTTTGTTTATTGAATGAGCACAAATCAATTTTTTATATGTTGTTTTCTTTTTTTTTTGTTTTCTCATTTTTTAGCAGGTAAACATCAGAAATACCATTGAAAAGTGCAAGTCTTGTGAAGCTATTGTTAAAGTCTCCGACGACAGACAGTTCTCTCTGTCGGTTGCGCTACGTTTTTTTCTTCTTTATTTTTTTTTTTGGGGGGGGGGGGGGGGGAGGAGGGGGAAGGGACATTGAATTCCAAGGCGTAAACTTGGTACAGGTCACGTCACGTCGGATTATTACAAATAATTAATGATGACATATTGAGAGCCGCTTATTAAGTATAATAAGCATCTAATTTATGAGGCTCAGGAGGCAGCGGGGCAGTTGAAGATCAATCAGCGATCGTTCAACAATTGTCAACTGTCTGGGCGCAACATTTTGGTGGGCGATCTGCGTATTTGGAGCCAGACAACGAGAGCTGCGAACGATCTCAATTCGCGGAATTGGGCACAATAACAAGCGACATGGCACTGAGAGGGCGTTCGGTAATCCGATCGGCAACAAGATCAGTAGCTGTTCCATCGTAATGTTTTTGATAGGCATTTAGCTAACAATGCGAATACTGTTCCGGTTTATCAGGCACAATTTCGCACAATACCAAAAAGCCAAATGTCAACTGACGCAATCTCGAACCGCAGCTTGTTCTCTCGAATGATCTGCGGCACGATCTTTAGACTCAATTACAAAAAGGGGGCGGCTTAATTTGCTCGTGGCTAGTTATTGAGGCGATCTGCCGGGCCTGGACTGTGATGTGATCTTAAGCTCGTTCCATAGTTCAATCCCCAGCTAGATTTGGATCTTAGTCTTGATCTTCGGCTAGATTTCAAGCATCTTCAGCGACACGATCTTCGGCTAGATCGGCAGATTAATGGATTAGAATAAGATATTGATTCAGCTCGAACTTTGGTTTGCTTTAAAGCTTAATCATCAACTAGATCTGATCTTCATGCTGATCCACGATCCGTAACTCAATTTATAGCTAAATATTTAGAGCGATCAGCAAGCAGCTTGAACTCTAGCTGCGGCTCGATCACGATCAGCGGCTTAATTTAGATACATTTTGTTTGTGTGTGTGTGTGTGTGTGTGTGTGTGTGTGTGTGTGGACTGAATATATTTCAATAACAATATTGCGATCTATTTCCATACCCGTACGATTTGGCGATCCGGCTGATCAGCATTTGCTGCAGTCACCCTTCGGATCCATTCGCATAATTTTCAATGTCAATGCTTTTTAAATTCATGGCACAAAAAGCCAGCTGCGACGGAGATCAGCGGGTCGATCGGCGATCAACGACAGCGTCTCGCCAAAGAGCCGGCGCCGTTGTTTTGACTTTTTCTCTAGCCTCTGGCCTCTAGCCTCTGGCCTCAAGCACAAGATGAAACGGAATTGAAATCAAAGTTCGATCTGCTCGACGATCGCATTTCGGCTGTCTCGAGTACATTGACCGCGGCCAAAACTGAGCCTGACTCTATTTGGGCTATTTTGAAGCCAGTCTTAGAGTTTCCTTGTCTCGTTGGCCCCTTGAGAAGGGCTCAAACAAAGAGAAGATCTGGCAAGGGAGCACGAGCTGAATCCTGCTTGATGCTTGATTGATTAATCTCCCACGCCATGGTTCGATATCTGCTCGCATCGACGAAGCACAGTCGTACAGAGTATCTGCCAGTCGTAGCTATTTTTGTCTTGTGCGTCGGAAATTAAGTTCGGTTGCGGGGGGTTGGGCGGCAGCTGGAGTTCATGCCCCAGAGCTGTTGCTCGCACTTTATGGCCCATCAAGTTGTGAGCTACTGTCAGCTCTCGATAAACAAGTTCCACCTGCAATTAGCCAAGGGCGGAGGGGGCAGGGAGCGGGGTGGTAGCTTGGGCTATGCTAAAGGTCGATGGGCGTGTCGTCGCTTGGATCATCAATCACAGATGAAGCGGGAGTCGAAGCTACTTTTGCTCCTTAATGCAAGCACAAAATTGAAACCACAAACCGAAGCGAACTCTTCTTTCCTGCAAGTGTTCCCCCTGCCCCTCCCCCCAGCCCACCTCCCGTACCCTGCCCCCCTGACCACAGCCTGTAGCCGGCCAAACCCTTCACTTGCCCTCAGCGCTCGAGCGCAATGTAACTGGTTTTTCTGGTCCAATCGTTAAAAAAGCCAACACACTGCCTGACCAGGAAATACCCTGTAACCACAGCATGGTAAAATTCATGCTTGACTATCTTCGGTCTCTGCGACGAAACTAAAGCCATCAATAAGGTGAAAGTGGGGTATGCAAGAAGTGAAATACCCTACATATTAAAAGCTTCTACTAACAATGGCAAGACATTGAGCTCCCCTTTTTGCCCTCTGCCTGTTACATGCACTTGCACATAATTGGTATACCCCAAATGCAGGGCTACAGGGTATATTCTGAAACCTACTAAATCAACAGCTAATTTCGAGTCATCTTCGGGCTGAGTACAAACAGCAATACACTTGTCTTATTGCGCTTTAGTATATAAATAAATCTAAAATTAAATTTAACTAAATAAATTGTTCTGCCGTAATTAGAAACCATTTTTCGGGACGATCCAGCTATATGGGTTAAATAAATAATTTAGCGCGCAACTTGTTTGTGAAAATATCTATGGCATGCAATATTTTCAATAGAAACGGCGCGCAAATGTCAATTGAATAAATATTTTATTAATAAGTATTTAGGAAATGTAAATATTTTATATTTTATAAAAAAAAAAAAACTGGTTCACGAACCGAACCCGACTGGAGCTGTGAGCTGTAAGCAGCGACAATTTGGCTTTGCAGCCCTGGGTTTTTGGTTCAAATTCCAAATTGGCTTTGCGGCCCTGGTTTTTTTTTTCAGTGTATAAAATGAGTGCAATTAAAATTGTTATCAATTTTGTGCCCATTTTACAACACTCACGGGCTAGTGTATAAAAATGTCAGCCACAAGAAGCTAGCATACCCCCCCCCCCCCGCCGCTCCCCCCTCGCCACACATATGCTTCACAATGACAACTTCAAGAGTTGTCCAACATTTTTTATTTTCAAGCCAAGTTGTTAACTTTGGACGTGTAATTGCCGAACGTAGTACCCCCTACCCTACCCCCCCCTTACCCAACAAAATGATCTTAATGGGCCTGCCAAAGGCCACAGACAAGAACGTGACGCCGCCTCCAGCTCAGCTGCGACTGGGCGGGTCCTTGCCCAAAAAAAGAAAAAAAACCACAACAAATGAGAAGAAGAAGGAGAAGAATTGAAGCCTGCGAATTGGGGTCAAGTTGAAGAGCAGCCATGCTGCGCTGACCTGGGCAGGTGCGAGTGGAGCGGGGAAGGGGGGTGGGGGGAGTGGTAGTTAGCGTAGAGTCCTCCCGCCCCTCACCGCCGCCCGCTGGCATCATAACAGAACGTCGGCTTTGTGACGGACAGTGGCAATGACAGTGGCGGTCATTGAACGAGCCGCTGCTGCCAGGTGAAGGTTAACCGTTATGGCCATAAACACATAACCAAAGATATAACCAAAAAGACAAAAACATAACAGAGTAACTGAGAAGCAGAGAAACAAATGCCGGCCACAGTTGCCACCTGTCTGCAGTGCGCGCTAATTGCCCAGAGTTGCCATGAGTTTTCGAAAATTGCCGTCCAAATGCAATTTGATTGCGGCGCGCTAATTGTCGGAAAACAGAGCCCAAATGCCAGTTAAACAAATGTCGGCTAATCAGGGCCCTCTTCTAAGTGAATGCTGAAGGGATGCTGGGGGGGGGAGGGGGCGGAGGGTAGCCGCAGCGGGGCGCGGCCTTAGCCAGCGCTTGCGCTTTGCTAAATGCTGTCTCCATTTTAGCCAGCTTCTCATGCAGAATCCAACAGCAAATGCCAAATTAATAAGCCAGCGTTTGTGTGTGCGACAGGTGTGAAAATCTGCGCCAGACAGGGAGAGAGGGAGAGGGGCGGCGGGGGGGGGGGGTGCGGGGCTGGAGGCCAAGCTTATCGCACATGCAAATATTTATTATCCAATATTTGATTTGTTGTATCCACAAAAGGTTCTATCTAAAAGCACGCTTCAGGGACGCTCCGTATAATATAGTATACCACATACATATACATATACATATGCATATACATATACATATACATATATATATATATATATATTTCGCAGACAACAACAGCAACTTTATTTTATAAAGACATCAATTTTGTAAATAGAAACTGAATTTCAAGTTGATCGGCTGTGAAATCAAGAACAAAAGGGAGCTCATAAAAGAGAACAGCAAGCCGGATATATAAATTACAGTCAGACAACCTTTGACCCCCATTTTAACAGAAGATATGGTGTTTTTTTTTTTTTTTTTGAAAATGCTTCTTGGCAAATGAATTCGAAGTCGTTCGGATAGTAATAAAAGTTTCACTTAACCGTTTCTCACGCTTTTTTCACACTTGCGGGTGGAATTTTGCCCGTTTGAGTGATGTCAATATTCGCAGCAAAAATATGCCATCCAATACTTTTAATACATATAAATGCTAGATAATTGCTAAGGTGAAGCATTCGCATTTTTCGGAAATCGGCCAGATCGGAGCACTATATCGTGTAGCGTATTTTAACTGAGAAATCCGTCAAGAAATTCCCTTTTATGGAAACCCAATCTGCTCAATTGTTGTGCAAGGGTTATATTAAAAAAAAATAAAAAAAATATAGAATAGAGTTCAAGGTCACATTTACAGCTAATATGCATTAAAATACCATTTTTGGTCCACTTTTGCTTTTCTTTCATTTTGCACTTTCACTCTTTGCTGCGAGAACTTTTCCATTGCAGTGCCCCGACAACCCACCGCCCCCCGCCCGCGCCCTGCCTGCCGCCAAATATGGTCACCTCTTGACATTTGCTCGACACCGATTGCCTTCTCGCTCGCTCGCTTGCGCTTCTGCTAACTGACGAGCGCTCTCTCTCTCTTTCTCTCTCCCACTCTGTCGCTTGCTCTCTTTCCTTTGTGGCCTTCAGTGCTGGTGCGTAATGACCTTCAAAAGGCAGTCAGAGACAACACAACAACAACAACAAAAACGATAACGGCTGCAGCAAGGACGAAGCCAAACCACGTGCCAGCTTTACATGGACACACACACACACACGCACACACACACATGAACAAAAAAAAATGAAATTAAAACGTCGAATATCCCTGAAAAATTCCGGCATTAATCGCTGCGCCCGTTAACCGCTAACCGTTAACCGTTAACCGTTTCGCCCGGCTGCATTTACCTGATTTGTTTTTGCAATTAACCGTTGATTTTTGTTGGCTTTTTTATTTTTTTTGTAGTAATTTTTATCGCGTTTAATTCTTGTGTTTACTTTTGTAAGGCTGCCGAAGGAGCAGCGCATAAAGGTGCGTACAAAAGGTGCGTGCGTTGGCTCTGCTGTGTTGCTGTTGCTGTTGCCGACGATGCTCACAACAAAACATTTCCGCAACGCGTTTGCGGCGCGACTGAACTTGATTCTGGCGCGCTAAGCGCTGTTAAACTTGGACTTGGGCTAAAATTGAAAAGCAACCGTCGATGGCAGCAGCAACAACAACAGCAACAAAACAGACACGCACACACACACACACACACACACACACACACATTGAGACAAGCAGCAGACGCGGCTAGAAGCTTGAGGCGCGCGCTGGCGGGGGCGTTGCGTCCGTCGGAAGCTGCAGCGAGCGAGCAAAATCGTACCTGGAAGCGTTTTGAATTGCATTTACACGGCCGAAAAAGCTTGAGAAAAAGCTCCGTTTAATTTTGCACAGCTTTGTTGTGGTTGGTTGTTGCAAACAGACCAAAATAAGTGTGACCAGCGCTTAGCACAGTTGCAAACCATGCGGCTGTACAATTGTGGATGGCAAATTCGTGTTGTGTGTGTGTCTAGGCTAACATTTAAATTCCACTCGCCGTTCAATGTCGGGTATCGATACTTTGGAGCAACAAACCGTTTTCTTTTGAAATTGTATAAATTTATTTAATATACATGTGTTGCGTGTACGTGTGTGTGTTACAAAAAAAAAAAAAAAAAAAAAAACAAATATAATAATATTGCAATTGCAAATAATAAATGCTTACAAGCTAAGCACAAAAAAAAATTGATTAAGTTTGGGTTATTTTTTTTTTTTTTTTAGTATACAAAGAGAAAAAAAATCGGTATGTATACATGTATGTATGTATAGCATATAGTATATATAGATTTCAATTAGTTAAGTTTAGGATTTTTAGCATTTGGCTTAACTTAAACCGTTTTTCAGTTCTGGTTCTTGGATTAGAAGTACAATTACATCAATGTACCGAATTACTTAATGCAGTGCGTCTAAATAAACGCTATAGTTACATACTTAAATATAAACAATATTTTGGACTTATTGTAGGTATTCCGGATGCATCCGGAGTCTATGTGTGTGTGTGTGTGGTGTGTGTGGTGTGTGTGGCGTGTGGGGGTTAAAAGGATACTTTGACTAAGTTATAAGCTTGATTATTCTTTTAAATATGGTTTAGCGCTGCACTGACTAAAATTTTGTTGTATTTGTTGTTCGTTTTTTTTTTCTTTTTCTTTTTCTTTTTTTTCTTTTGCTTTGATGTTGAACCACAATTCTCACCAGAAGTTTGCCCCGGCCCAAAACTTACACATAGAGAAGCATCGAACAGTATCGACAATAAAGTTTAACATAAATTTAGTAAATATTGTTAAATCAACACATATTCACATAGTGCCCTATGTGGATGCGTCTTTAGCCCCCAGTTTGAAGATTAATTGATTGATTGGCTGATTGGTTGCTTGGTTGGTTGGTTGGTTGGTTGGTTGGTTGGTTGGTTGGTTGCCTTTGGCGCCTCGTTCAGTCAACGCACGCTCGACTGTTGGGGCGTGCCCCCATCTGTAGCCGGATGTCGCCATCAAATCTATCTGATATTGGCAAACAGATTGAGCACAGACTTGTTCTCCTTCTGGCTGCGCGCCTTGCTAAACACATTCCAGAATCGCAACGTCTCGTCACCGGCACCGGTGACAATCGCCTCACCGTCGGGACTTAGCGCCAAATAGAGGACACGATAGGAGTGACCGGTTAGCTTGGCCACCTGTGTCAGCGATGGATATTTCCAGACGAGTATTTGGTTTTGCGAATAGCCGTGCGTGGAGACCAGCTCCGATGAGTGCTTTGACCAGGCCAAATTGCACACCTGCGAGCCTGTGTCCACGCACTGCATGGGCTGGCCCGTCAGCGTGTTCCAGAAGCGTATGCAGCGATCCGCTGTGCCGCCGCCGCTGGCCAGCAGGCCGTGATGATGTGGCGACCAGGCGATTGCTTTCACAGCGGCCATATGCTCCGTATACGATTGCACCGGATTCACCGAATGCTGATTCCATACGTACAGGCGATTATCGTTGCCGCCGCTGGCCAAATACTGATTATCCGGCGACCATTTCAATCCGCACACCTCCTGACGATGCCCAGCCAGACGACGCTCTGACTGTAGCTGCGGCGTTCTTGTGTCCCGTTGTATGATCCAGCGATCTCTCGAACCGCTTGACAGAATGTCGCTATTCCAGGCAAGTGCGCCCACGCGTGCCGAATGGCCGTTCAGTTTATTGATCTGCAAGCAATTGAAGTTCAGTTAGTTGAGCTCGGTAAGCTGGTTCCTTCTCGCCTGTAACTCGTTATTAGCTACTCGTCACTCGTTCCTTGCATTTTGCCATTTCGCTAATGGTCTGTTAACTGTTACTCATTCCATGCTTCTTACTACCTATCTCTCGTTACTCGTCAATCGTTACCATCTACTCGTCGCTTGATGTATTTTATATCCTTTGCTAAGCTTGTCTCGCCCGTTGCTCGACACTCAGAAGCTCTTCATTATTACTCTCGCTGGTGTACCTGTCTCGCGTTATCGGGCACTTGTTACTCCCTTCTTGTTGCTAACTACTTACTCGTTATTTGATGGATTTAATGCTATATACTATATTTATTGAACTAAGTTCGTTATTCGTGCTTTTGCACAATCGTTGCTACACAGTCATATACTCGCCGCTCGCTAATGTCGTTTCAAGCAACTTACATTCTCAATCGCCGCCACTCGTCGCATTATGCGGAACTAGCTCTTCTTATTTACAACTGATTAAGTTAAGCTTGATAAACACACTACTCGTCATTTACTCGCCACTCTCTGCTTGTTTTTTACTCACAGTTACGCGATTCTCGTCACACATTAAAGGTTTGCCGTTATATGTTTCGCGTTAGTCACTTCACGCTATCGATCACTAAGTACTCGTCACTTGTTACTAGTCTTCTGTCAGTCGATACGTCCCACTCGTTGTTAAATGCTATTTACTCGCTAGTTGCTACTCGTCACTCACCTGCTTATTGGCTGCCACGTCCCAAACTGTGACGTAGCCATGATGTGTGCCAACAGCGACGGTATTGCCACGTTCGTTCCATGACACAGATGTGACCGTATTGGAGTCTGGACTGAGATCGCACAGGCGGGTTACCTGCATGGAGAAAAGCGAATCACATTAGTTGGAATACAGTTTCAGTTTTCATTGTTAACTATAATCACCTGACTGGTGCAGGCGCTCCACAAATAGACACAGCTGCCTAGGCCGACGGCGAGCACGTTTTGCGATGACCAATCGACCAGATTTAAATAGAAATCATCCTGCAGTTCCGGTGCATCCAATACCTTAAATGGTATTCTTGATATCTTACGGGTTGCTTTGCGTGGCGATCTCAATAGTTTTTGGCTCTTGGCGCTCACCGGCGACAGCGAGTACGGGCACTCCCCATTATAGTCCTGCGTATAGGAAATAGAAGGGAGAACAAACAGTTTAGCGAATCAATTAGTCAACTGTTACAGTTGCAGCTAAGCGCCAAATTGGCCAAAGCGAGTCTCCCCGGCCCCCCCTCCCACCAAATCAGTTGAGCAAAGAAACCTCTCAATTTTGTTTGCTCGCCGCGTACTTGGCGCGGCAATTAACGCCAGCGTGCTAAAAGCAGCGACCGCGTCCGCATTTGATCTGCCTACCTAATGCTCCGCCGTCGACCACCCTCCCCACAGTTCCCCCTCGCGAAACGGACCACCATGCATTCGGGCACGCACTGCGTGTAGCCTCCTCTCCTCTCCACTCCACTCCATTCCATTCCATTTCTCTCCACTTCTCTCGGCTTGTCTTTCCGCTCGTTTGCATAGAAAATGCGTGCGACAGAAGTGTGTTAAGCGTATGCGTGGTTACTCCCTACCCCCCCCCCCCTCTCTCCCTCTCTCTCTCTCTTTGGGGTGGCGGGGCAGCTTACGCAATGCGGCATTTAAAATGCGCAGGGCCAAGACAAGACAGCTGTGCGTACCGCAATCCGATATTCGCATGCCAAATTTAACACAACAATCTGCAGTTACATCCATTCAAGTTAAATCTGATAGATTTATCTAGTGCATCCAGCCATCTTCCGCCGAAAATGAGTTTTAAGTAAATCGGATGAATCATGATCATTTCACTCTCGTGGAATGGGCTTGATAAGACGTTGAATTACGTATTTTGTATTTTCAACAATGAAGAGCAGCTTTGAGCATAAGCAGAATTTAAAAATAGACTTTGGCTCATGCAACCTCTGAACCCCGTTTTCGTCAACGAGAAATGCATTTGCATAAAGATCTTAGGCAAACGATTTCGATTTCCACGATTTTTCCACACTTGTCGGTGGATTTTCCAGTTTTCTGGCTTTTACGTCGAAAGAGACAGTTTTATGGCATATCCAATAATTCTCGGACACGCAATGTCATAAACTACAGTCAGTTCTCAAATGTGCAGTTCGCACACTTATCTTTTTCTTTTTTTTTTTTTTTTTTTTTTTTTTTGGAAATAACTGAGTTATTTGGAAGTTTGTCAAAAGTTGTCATTGCTTGCATTACGTGGTCAGCAGTTCGTTAGTTCTTGAGAGCTTCCGCTCAAGCTGGCAAACAGACAAACCCCCCTAAGATGAACGCATGCGATACGCAAGTGTTTGTTCGCGATAAGCGTTGGGAAGTCCATTGCCCGGCCGATGGCTTGGATAAAGTCCACCCGGAGGGGGGGAGGAGGAGGTGGAGGCGAGGCGGCGGTCAGAGTGCCTCTTGACGCTGCTTAAGCTGAATTTCGGGTTGGTTCTTAATGAGTTTAGCAAATTAAAATTTAATTCAATTAGCGAGCGAAAGGGCAGCCGGGGGGCAACCGAGATAGAGAGAGTTATGAGCTAAGAGCTGAGTCGATGCACAAGAAACTAAGCAAGACTGCTCTAGTTGGGTGTGCCCCACTAGGAGATACCCTAACAAACATTTTAGCTTCCTTCTCCGTGCTTCTTCTGCCCCTCAATTCTACTCTATGTATGCGAAATGCATCCTGATTAACTTCGGTGTTCATAGTCCGATCTGTAGCACATTTGTAAGGTCTAAAGATGACATACAGATGTCTGTGTATACCAAAGCTCAGGCTCTAACTGAAAAATGAGCTCCTTCGATATTTATCG